TAGAGTGATTTCTGAAGATCATGTGACACTGAAGACTGGAGTAATGATGCTGAAAATACAGCTTTGATCACAGAAATAAATTACATTTTTAAATATATAATCATATAATTATTTGGAATTGTAAAAATATTTCACAATATGACTGTTTTTTTCTGTATTTTTGATCAAATAAATGCAGCCTTGGAGAGCAGAAAACACTTCTTTTAAAAACATTTAAAAAAAATGATTCCAAACCTTTTACTAGTGGTGTATATATAATTAATTATTAATGAATATTAATAATATTTATCTGATATAATTACTATAAGACACTTATTCTTCTACACTTTATTTAGTAAAGTTCCGAGTGTTGTGAATGTGTTATTTCAATAATAATCGCATGACACATTTTTCTCGAACTATGGCTCTTCTTTTGAGGAATCCCACCTCCATTCGTTTAATTCCTCCAACTCCCCGACCGCCGTAATACGATGCATCCACTGTGGGCCATTTCTTCTTTGGCATCCCATCCTCATCATCTGACTCCTGAAGAGGAAAAACACGTTACATAATTTGAAGAAGCACGGGAGATACTAAACATCTGCTCGCAGGCGTAAACTGCCAGTGTTTATTTGACATGTTGATGTTGTTATTCTCAAAGTCATCTGATGGTTTTCATTAAAGTCTCTTCATGAATCTCACACTAACATCCACTACTCATTATTTATAGCAGTTAAACTACAGTCACACTTACTGTAAGTTACTAACAAAAAGAACAAAGCTGACCTGACTAAGTAGCATACTTACTACTGAACTAGGGAGCGGATTGAGACACAGCAGACTAAAAACTTAAAAAATACATCAACTTCTAGTTATCTTTTGGTTTTTTACCTCATATCATTGCCTTCCTAAAATAAAAAGGCAGCTATGTGTTTTTATAAAATAAATAAATTATATAATTAAAAAAATAAATGATAAAAATGTGTATATTATGAAAAGTATTTACTTTCTACGAAATACTAACTACAATTTTTTATTAATCTCATCGCAAGATGAAATAATATTTAAATACTATTTAAAAATGACATGTAATTTTGGACCGCGAAATGTAAAATAGTGTACAATTAATGAATATTACATGACAGAATGTTTAAATATTATTTAAAAAATTACATGTCATTTCAGAGCAGAAATATAAATAATGACAAATTGGGTACAATTTTTTAACATAATTTATTAATGCTAAATAATTAACTAATGTGTTCTATCTATATCTATCTCAAAACTTAGTTCAGTCATTTCTGTGTGGCTCGGTCCAAAGATCATCTAATCAGATTTTGGACAAAATTGCATAGTAGCAGATAAAGCTGTAACTTACTGTCTCTGGAGGTGGAGGAGGTGGAGGTTCCTTGATCACCTGTGGAAAGATGTGTGAAATAGTGAGACATAAATCACAAAACCAAAAACACAAGTCACATTATACACATAATACAGCATGTTCAATCATGGCCTCGTTTGAGAAGAATTGACCAATTTTCTACTTTAAATCACTCAACTTCAGTCTTTCCCGCAAATCCATAAGCCTTTGGATCCCAGATTAAACACCTTATACTGGAAGATGTGTCGTGAGAACGTATGAAGGCGGATATTTAAGACGGTAAATGAGACGATGACTTACTACGGTGCAGCAAAGCGGCCAGAACCACCACATGAACAACAGAGCCAATAGCAGAAACAACACCAGCAGGGTGATCAGGAGGATGGTGCCGTCAAACTGCAGAAGAAACGACATCAAAGAAGAGAGAGCATCGGCACCATTATTATACTTCACCAACAAACAAGTAATGCCATGTTGTTATTTGACCTTCAAGAACAATGTAATCTCCTAATTTTGTTAATTGACTAATTAACTAACGATTTTTTATGATAATGAAGATGAGGTTAAAAATTCGCATTATAATTCAAATTAACATAAGGTTTAAATGTTATTAAAATTTTGCATGTCATTTCTGTCAGTAGACCTTTGTCAGTGTAGAATGGCCTTTTAAAAATATTGACTAAATTGACAGAACATTTTCATCAAAAGGCAAGCTCTGACTACCAAAAACCGTGTAACCTCACTGTTAAAAAGTATGTCATGGGAAAAGAATGGGAAGAGCACAGTGCATTTGTAAAGTATTTCGAGAAGAAGCGCTTCATAAAAAGTGATTCTGTGGTTGTGGGCATGAAGCCTGCTCAGAGAGAATCAGAGACAGCATCTTTGCCTGCGGTTTGGCCCTTGATGTGTGTGTGTTTTTGGGGGGAAGGGGTTTGTGAAGAGAAAATGACGATAGGGGACGACCTGAACGTGAGGAGAGGAGAACGCAAAGAAAATAAGGGGTTACGAAGTAAAAGACCACCCATACATTTGACATGAACTCAATAATTTATATATGTAACGTAATTACAATCATATACAGTATAATAGCTATATTTAGTTATAGCGACTACAGTACGTTAATGAAAGTAATTAAAGTGTGACACCTAAAAACATTTTGAGGAAAAAAAATTTATGTGAGGAAACAATTTTGCATGTGAAATGCTAAAGGAACCACGAGAGTATAAGATTTATTCTTAAGGAAAAAAAAATATTTTTTTTTTATATATCTAGCATTTTTCACAGTAAATGTAAAATGGTATAAATTAATGAGTATGACAACATGTAAATATTGTTAAAAAATTTTTTTTAACTTTTTTCAGTAAAATGAATGAATATGACATAAAATAATGTTTAATTACTATAAAAAAATACATTTAATTTTCAGAGCAATGTAAAATGGTATAAATGAATATTACATGACAAAATAATGTTTACATATTATTAAAAAATTACATGTAATTTTTGCCTGTAAAAGGAAAAGATGTTTAAAAATCAAATGAGGTCTAAATATTATTAAATATTCTATTAAATATTATTAGTTTTTGTAAACAGTAAAATGTAAAATGGTGCAATTTAATGAATATAACTTGACAAAACAATATTTAAATATAAAAAATATTATATTTTTGTCAGTAAGATGGAGTAAAATGAATGAATATGACGTGACAAAATAATGTTTACATATTATAAAAATGACGTACTCTTTGTCAGTAAAATGTTGTAAAATAATGAATATGACGTGACAAAATAATGCTTAAATATTTTAAAAGATTACATGTACGTTTTTCAGTAAAATTTGAATTGGTGTAAATTAATGAATATGATATGACAAAATGTTTAAATATTATTTACATGCAATTTTTCACAGTAAAATGGCGTAAAATTAAGGTATATTAGATGACAAAATAATATTTAAATATTATTAAGAAACTGCATCCCATTTTTCAAAATGAATGAGCAAATCTGAAAATGAATTAGCATTTTATATTTGTAGTTTGTGCTGTAGTTCGGCTGGATGTGATGTTGTGTTTGTAGTCAGACTTACACACTCGGTTGTGGTTATGTGAACGGAGCTGGTGATAAACGACAGACCCTCGTTCATGCTGACTTGCAGGTACACCACCCTGAAGTGCAAAGACCAAACATAAATTTTCATACCCATATTTGTCACTTTGAAAGCCAGCAAATCCTTTAACGTTGTACAGCAGGGTCCATAAAAGCAGAAAACAAGACCAGCGGGATTTAGAGAGACACGAGACATGCGTGCCAAAAACAACCCCACTACATTTCTCTTTCATTTTTTACAAAAAGATGTGTTTGCATATCTTTAGGTCTATGAAAAATGCCTTCCAGACCATAATTGGCAGCCTCGCAGAGCTCTGCAGGGTGCTGGTTAACTTCTGTTGTAGTCAGCTGTCTAGTGTCTCAAACATCCGATAAAAACAGCTTTCCAAATGTTCAGCATTCCCGCCGAGGTTTGTCTCCCAACACACAGAGGCCCAAGTCTGACAGATAAGACCATTTTCTCTGATGAAGAGCATCTACTTCAGATTAGGTTCACATTCCTCTGTGCAAAAACTTAATGATGAACAGCCTGAAGTTTTGCCAGCCAATCATTACTGAGGAAAATAAAGGGTTCTAAATTCTGATTGGATGAGAGGTTGGGAGAATTGTTTATTTCGATTATTATTAATAAATCAAATCAAATTAACACCAAGGTTATTTTAGTTAGTTAAAACAAACATTTTTGTTACCTGTAATTTAAAATATATATAGATTTTTTATTTAGTGTATTAAAATAACTCAAACTAAAACTGAAATAAAAATGATATTTACGTATTTAAAAAACTAATAAAAATGACAAAAACAGAACAAAACTTAAAATGAAAACAAAATATTAATTCAAAATATTAATAAATACTGACTAACACACACAATATATTGATAGCATATCAGCCAATATAAGATAATTGATCAGCACCAATAAATATTGTATATACACTGAATAAAGTAATTTATTTTGGAACTATTTTTTACCCAGAAATTGCTAGTAAATTTCACAAATACAGTAAGAAAAGGCAAGTAACACATTGAATTAAATATGAATTTAAGGTAGAAAGGATACAATAATATTTTCTTGTAAAATGTAGTCCAGTAAAGTTATTTTTGTTTAATTTAAACTTTCAAAAATATTTATTTTCTAACAGAGTTTATCGGTTGATATTTGATAATTGTGTGGGTTTTACATAAATATTATTTTTGCCACCATCTAATACTAATTTAAAGGTAATATTTAAAACTTAAACAAATCACACTTTTAATTGTAATATTTACTGTATACTGTAATATTGTAATGCCTAGTAACTAGATTTCACTAGAATTCCCTTTTTTTTTTTTGGTCATAAAATGAAAATATTTATTGGTTTATCGATATCAATCAGAATTTTTAATTAAACATTGACCACAAACTCAAAGAGGTAGAGAAGCACTAGCTTATCGTCTAGTTATTTAGAAAACTTAATCTGTGAAGAATAAAAATATGTATATGTAACATCAAAAATCTTTACACTTTAAACTCAGGAACGGGAAAAAAAAAAGTTCTTGATAAGATGATTCTGAACCTAATATGCTGTATCAGTGTTGAATGTAAAGCAGAAGCGGGGGAGAAAATATAGATCCTCTGGGGTTTATGGGAACAGCAAATGGATGAGGAATAAAGAAAAAGAGAGAGTGGGTGTGATGAACACAATGATTTCTGAGGAACTATCAGCTTTTAATGGCTCCTCAGAGCCTCTGACTTCATGTAAAGCTGTGACTCTTTGGATTCGAAAGGAAAAAGAAGGCCACGATCAAGCCTGGATCAACAGCATGACCTCACAGCTAAAACAGCGAGCTGCGCAGGAAGTGGAATGTGACCTTTGACAGGGATCATAAACACGGCCTAATGCATGGCAGACCTGTTCGTCAGCCTCGCACTTACTTTCCAACTTCATCTATAACAGGCGCGGGGCACAGCAGGAACGTGTCCTCAACGCTCGCAGGCTTCTCGTCTGTAAACAGAAGAATAACTTGTTCAGTGTTTAGCAAACCAAGCCAAAATGAGTGATAAATGTAGCGATATATGTTCATTTTTCATGACGAAAAACTACTCCGATTGATTTTAGGGGGAGAACACTCACTGAGCGTGACTGTGTCGTTGATTTTGAAGCTGCACAGGACCTGGTCTATGTTTCTGGCATGTCGAAATCCATTCCCTCTCACCACCACTTGAAATGACTCTGAAACACAGATTCCCAGTCGCTGCTCAATAAATGGTGATAAATCCTCACAGAAGACTTCTAATGATGTCAATTCCCTCAGAAACATCCACTGTATTTTCAGCACACGAGTCAATGCCTTCCTGCTGAAATCATCAGAGCTCGAGGAATGCTGGGTAATATAAAACCACAATGATATAAACTATATACAGTAAATGCGTCTGACAGACTGTCATGTTCAATACCGGAATTGTACCTAAGATTATTTTATGTTAACTTACTTATTTCGATTTGAGTAATTATACACCTGATGGTCTATAAATGTGTGCACCTTTAATGTTTACATCTAAATCTAGGCCGAAAGATGCTGTGTGCAATAGGGGTGCAAATTACTCACGGTTCAGTTTGTATCACGGTTTTAGGGTTTTACGGTACGGTTCGGTATGTGCTATGTTTAGGGAAAAATAAAGAAAATAAGAATAAATAATCTACCTACAAGCAACAGCACAAAGATACAAATAATATAAACAGTGCTTTTTTTTGTTTTTAGGTACAGAAATTGAATAAAGTAATCAAAAGTAAAATAACATTGCATATTTGACTGTATAAATTAAAGATGAATCCTTATTAAAGTTACAAAAGCTATTCAATCAAGAGCAGTGAGTGATTTCCTTGTCTTTTTTTTGTTGTTGTTGTTGTTCATAGCTGTTGTTGAACTCTTATTGGGAAGCCAGAATGCGTATCCATCGAACTCTGACTGTTTTACCTGTTGTTATTTTTAACAAGCCATATTACAGATGCGCTGTCAGATTTAAGTTGAACCGCAGTGCAAGTGCGTGCCGAACCGTGGGTGGAGAATAGTAGTTTGATTTTTTACAGAGAACTGTTACACCCCTAGTATGCAAGTATGGAAATTAAATGAATCATCAAGCGTTATAAAGATTTATGGCACATACATAATCCACAGAGAGATTAACAAGAACATTTGATATTGCCGTCAAATTTTTTTACATTTTTTTTTTAAACAAATTTATTTTCATACCTCCTGCACAAACACTGGATGGCTCTGCTGCCAATATCTCGATGCAAGATTTTTTGATGATCTAAAAACATAACATATTTCATTCATATATTTTATTTATTTATATATACATATAATATATATATTTACCAGTTTTCAATCAGAAATTGTTAGTAGATTTCACATATAATTACAAAGAAACTGCAAGATTAACATTGGATTAAATGTTAAATTTTGAAGTAGAAAACCTGAAACAGGATTTTTCTTGTAAAATAAAACAAATATTTGTTTTATTCAGAACTTCAAATAATCATTTTTTTTACAATGTAAAAAACAATAACAATTTTTACTAAATGTATTTTTTTTACTAATAAATTATATTAAATACTAAAAAAATAAATTAAACACTAATAAATTATATAATAATTCTGCATATGTAATTTCTGCATTGGTACCAATGGTCTCTGTGATCAGCCTTGGGAAATACAGTTTTGAGCAATATTTTAAAAATATCAACAAAAACAATATTTTATACTCAGTGTTACAGAGTATACAAATTTTCATCAGTCTACGAATGGCTTATCTCTTTGTATATTAAATAATTAAAATTATATAAAAATTCTGTCATCATTTACTCACCTTCATGTCGTTTTGTAAATCTTCGAAACACAAATGAATGAATCCATATGAATCGAGCAGTTTAATCCAAGACTTGTGAAGAGATTAAATTGCTTTATATGATGAACAGATATAATTTAGGCTTTTAATTCTCATATAAACAATTCATATGGATTCATTTTATGATCACTTTATGATCTTTTAAGTTTTGGTTACCTGGACATTCAATGAAGGTACACAAACCTCTCGGTTTCATTAAAATGATCTTAATTTGTGTTTTGACGATTAACCAAAGTCGTATGGGTTTGGAACGGTATGAGGGTAAGTACATGATGAGAGAATTTTCATTTCTGGGGAAGTTTGGTTATAAGTACCGCTGACAAAAACCCACACTTCAGCTTAAAGTAAGGAACATGCATCTTAGAAAATGTACAAAATGCACTTTTAATTAATCTTCCACATAGCTTCAGTTTACCGAGTCAATCATTCCTCTCAGCGCCTGGAATCCTCCCAAGACGGGAAACACGTGCTTACTGGTGTCCGCTATGGTAGCCAGCTAGAACAGGACAAATAGGTGTTTATTTACAGCTCATCTAAGCCTGGATTGGTTGATCTGATCTGTTTCCTCCATATAAAGTGCATTGTTTATAAAGAATTACATTCTCTGTTAAGTGCATACTTGAGGAAGAGTCTCCAACATTGTTTGTTAGAAGGAAGTACTTATTGAAGCTTCAATGCAAGTTCAAGACAAAGAGGCTTTTAAAAACATCAACAAAAGATCATCGTCATTATTACCTGCGTTTCATTAAAGTCCTTAACTCCAACACAATACACGATTGCACCCAATGCCCGAGCTCGTGCCGCCTGGTGAGATATCAATCAATCGTAATGAAAAGACTGTGAGTCTTTAGATAGATGTACAAATGTCTGCAGAATGAATGCTGAACTTCAAGCCTGTTACCTCTTGTTGAGCTGCTGTCAGCTGATGTTCTTGAAGCTCACCGTCCGTCAATGCAATTATGACACTTGCAGTTCCTACAAAGTGGAGTGAAGATTGTCAGGTAATGGCAAACTGTAATAGAGTTTAATGGAATCAACATTAAACTGACTTGAGCTGAATAATGACGCCACTGTCTTCTGTAGAGCTGCTTATAGCTGAATTGAACTTGTATCAAAATTGATGAATTTTACACAGTTGTTGAACTGACTGAATCAATACTGAACTGACTTAAAGGGATAGTTCACCCAAATTTCTGAAAATTCTGTCATCATTTACTCAAGTTGTTCCAAAGCTGTATCAGCTTCTTTCTTCTGTTGATCACGAAAGAAGACACTTTGAGGAATGTTGGTAACAAAACAGTTGACGGTAGCCATTGACTTCCAAAGTTTGGGAAAATTATACTATGGAAGTTAATGGCTACCGTTAAGGATGCAACGATTCACTGTAGGGTTGGGCCGATAGACGATGCCATCGTCCATCACCATTGGCTGACAGACTGTCAGCTTAACATCGTGATTCCTTGGCCCCCCCCCCCCACCACCACCCCCTCTCCCGCAATCCACCGCATCCCAGTTCCGTGTTCGGAAAGGAAATGAAGTGTACTACGGAAACCCTAAAGGGAATAAACGTCACTCCTCCTTTTCTCCTTCCAGAGCTCCTCCATGGGACTCAAGACCGGTGAGTGGTGCAGGTTAGGGTTGGGCCGATAGACAATGCCATCGTCCATCGCCAATGGCTGACAGCCATCACGATGTTAAGCTGACATCGTGATTCCCCCCCACCACCACCACCCCCTCTCCCGCAATCCACCGCATCCCAGTTCCGTGTTCGGAAAGGAAATGAAGTGTACTACGGAAACCCTAAAGGGAATAAATAGCCTATGCGATGGGAGGATAAAAAAAATATTTCAATAATTTTTCTCGCAATTATATCGTTGGGTAAGTATAGGCGACTGTATATAAATTGGGGGCATCAGGGAGCCGCTATTGAAACCGCTTTCGATTGCGCGCTTTCATTTTACTTTCACTTTCACTTTTGAGATTCGCGATCACAAGGACTCTATACTATGGAGCGGCAGTACTTACGACACATTTTACAAGATTAGATGTTTGTCAGTGGTGCTCAGGATCTGCAAATCATTCGCCATCGTCCTATCAGACATTTCTCCTTACTCTGTGTATGTGGTGAGTGAACTTTCATGTACTGTAATGCAACAGGCTACCGCTAGCAAGCAATTTGGTAGACATCGCCCAACCCTAATTCACTGAACTCACAATGCGATACGATTCACGATACTAGTTTCACGATATGGTTTTCTCACAATTTTTCTAAACAAAATGAAATTTAAGACAAATTATAAATGAGAAAGTGTCTTTTTATTTTGAGTTTTTATTACAAAATGCTGCATATTTCTTTGTGAAATTTAAATATCTTTTATGTCAAATAGCAAAACCAAACTGAAATTTTACAGGGGTCATGAACTGCCTTTTTAAAATGATTTTGTACTGTTCTCTGAGGTCCACTTATAATGCTATCAAGATTTTTACATAAATAACATCATAATTTAGAAGTAAAAGGCTATTTTCTGTCCTGTTTTAACCCCTCTCATCAGAACGCTCTGTTTGAAAAGACGTTACTGTCAGATCCAGATATAGTTGCACAGCATTGTCTTTTAGTTTCAATCTTTCTGAAAATCCTGCGTCGAATTGTACCTTATTTGTAAACAAATCCGCGGTAAAATTAAGTGAACAAAGAACCAAGTTCTTACTGACGCGGTCTGGATCTTCATTAAAAATAAAGCTCATCCACTCTTTCCTAACGTTGAGATCAGAAGGAAGGCAATGCAAAGACTGTGTTTCCACAACTAGCTGCCGTCAACTGTTTGTAATTTTCATTTTTGGGTGAACTATGCTTTTAAATTTAAATAATGACAATTTATTGAAGAAGTTGCATCATTGATTCTGTTATGTTCCTGTTTATTACAGTGAAGCTGCTTTGAATGTAATGTATAAAGCGCCATATAAATAAAGGTGACTTGACTTGTCTTTAACAGAAACCTACCAAAGTTTTCCTGGTGTATTTGTTCATTTGCCTGTGAATAAAGATTAGATAATAGTGTTAAAGAGACATTAAAACAAGCACATTTGAATGATAACTTTAATTTGAACATTTTACCTTTTCTAGACCAAGATGCATAAATGTATCTCCACCTGGGATCTCTCGTCTCAGAGCATTCAGGCCTTTTCTTATGGTCTCCCTTTGGAAAGTGAGAACAAAAATGAGAAGAATGAAATAAACTAATATTTTGCAGCACTAGAAGCCGTGTCTTTCGGCACCTGTTTTCAGTGAGTCTCATGATTGTGTTTCCTCTGGTTGAGAACACGATGAAGGACATCCGCAGCATAGGGCTGTGAGACGATGAAAAACAGACCAGAAATGGTTATAATTTAACAAAATTTGTAAAATGCATTCGTAAAATCATCCATGACCTATTTCAGAAATCTTACGCAATTGGATAATGTCAACAAAAACAAGCCATTTGAGACCGATAGTGTGATTCAGGGCATTTGTTTGTTTTAGTACCTGGTGAACTTCTCAGCCAAATGTTCGACAAAAGTGTAGATTTCATGCCAGTGGTGTTTGACACTTCCTGACCTGAGGAGAAAGAGGTGAAATAATCAGTAAATGGGATGTTTCTGCTTTTAAATGCATCAGATCAATACAACTGAGAATCCCTCCAGTTAACTATTGGCACTTTCGACGTTATGCAGTCTCTTAGCAGAGCCATCTAATTTTGCCCCCTATTGTTTTTCCCTGAGGCGCAGCTGTAAACGCTCTATGACAGCTGGTCATTTCCCGTCTCAGTCCCTGAGAGGCAACCTGTGGTAATTCATTAGTGCTGGATGACACATGGGAAATGAGCTAATTGAGTCTACTGATCTGTGCTTCAGTCAGTTTGACTTAATTGACGAAACATGCAGCAGAAATAGGCTCTGCATTGTGTAAATCTCATTCCCTGGCTGATGTAACTCGTTTAGTCTGAGAGCCAGATATAACACTAACTGGCCTGTTCTATGAAACTGGTGCCTTGAAAAGGTGATTTTAAAGTACATTTCTATAAGATTTCAGATGAAGTGATTATGCATTGTCTCATCTCATGATATATGAATACATTTTAAAATATGTTGGCTTCAGTGCAGTAACATAGGTTGGACATTTTTAAAATAGTAACATTTAATTTACCATCCTTGTGCTCAAGATTGTGAAACTTACTGTTTACTATACAAAGTCATGGTAAAAGGGTTGATGTTACAATCATCCTCTACTGAAAAGCATAACAAAACATTAGATAAAAATGGGTGCATTTTAAATTTTCCTTGGAGAGTTTAATTCCTGAAACTATAATGACATTAAATAAAAAAAGGGGAAAATATAATGCTAATGGAGTTGATGTATATTCTGGAACACATTTTTCAATAATACATTATATCAGCTAAAATCTAAACATACATATAAAGTAAAATAAATGGGGGAAAAAAGTTTTTATTAGTGCTGTAAAAACGATGAATCGCGTCCAAAATAAAAGTTTTTGTTTACATAATATATGTGTGTTTACTGTGTATATTTATTATGTATATATAAAGACACACACATACAGTATATATTTTGAAAATATTTACATGTATATATTTATATTCATATAATTTATATTATATATAAATATATTTCATATATAAACATAACATATTTTTCTGAAATATATACATGCATGTGTGGGTATTTATATATACATTATAAATATACACAGTACACACACATATATTCTGTAAACAAACACTTTTATTTTGGATGCGATTAATCGCGATTAATCGTTTGACAGCACTAGTTTTTATATGTGGATCAAATGTGCATACTTGCTATTACAGCAAGAAGTGTTAGCGATGGGGACAGACCAAAAGAAAATCTTCATGAAATCAAATTAAAGTTACTAGATTTTTGCTAATACGTTAAAGAAATTACAACAAAGCCGGTCAAAAGTTTGGAATAATTACGATTTCTAAATGTTTTTGAAAGAAGTCTCTTCTGCTCACCAAGTCTGCATTTATTTGATCAAAAATACAGTAAAATAACATTAATATTGGGAAATATTATTACTATTTTAAAAGAAATGCTTCCTTTTTTAATATATGTTAAAATGTAATTTATATCTGTAGTGGCAAAGCTGAATTTTCTGCAGCCATTACTTCAGTCTTCAGTGTCACATGATCCTTCAGATATAGTAAGACATAGCAAAAGATTACAATTATTGCACATTTTACGATTTGGACCCATTTTGTAGTATGACCCAACTCTCCTTGTTAGACAAGGCTTCAAAAACAAACTCGTCTGGATCGATTTTATTGTTGCTGATAAAATGATCCATCTTAAAAAAAGCTGTTTGCTTTCCTCCAGAGAAATGCTAAGCCAATGACTCTGTTTTATCCTGAAGGAGAGCGATGAATGCTCCCAAAAACCTCTTTCTGGAACGGCGTGGGAGGAAGATGTTTTTATAACACAGTCAACAAAAGACGGGCCAGCACACAGCCAGCATGCATACCATAAGTGACACAGAGATGAACGTTGGCGAGAATATGCAGGTCATGCTAAGGGCTTGCCACAGTTTTTAACTTCAGATTTTCGAACATCACAATGGACGCTGTTTGTGTTGGAAGCGGGACTTTCTTGAGGTAACAGCAATCATGGGATTGGTGCCTAGCTTGCAGTTTTCTCACCTGTGCAAACAGCGTTAGGAAAGGAAGTGGTCTATTCTCAAGTGAGATCCTTGATGAAATATGTTGTGGTGCCCCTCTTTGATCTAATTTTAATGGGTTATACTAAACCATATAAAGCTCAAGATGTCCAACAGCGACATTTTAACTCTGAAGATGATCCTAATTCACAGAGAAAGGAATTAGGAGCGATCCGCAAACAGCTACGTCATCTTTTAAATGACCCTCAAAACTCATGTTTTCTACAGTTACACAACTCTTTGTATAGAAAGCTGCACATATGTTAAGACATGTGAAAGTCATTGCGGTTTGATGCAACAAGAGCCAAAACAGGAAGACTCATTGGAGGAATATTTGGAAGAGGGATAAGTAGAAAAGTGTGCTGCTCTTACAGGTCTCATCTGCTCTGAGATCAGTCTTCCAGTCTCTTCCCCGAGATCGAATCCTAAACTGACTTTTCATATCTGCGTTTCTGCCAGAGCCAAAAAACAAAACATAGCTCATAAAAAGCTTCTCCTTGCTGTCGAGTGCAGTTACCTGCCGGCGCTTCAGATTAAAGGAGGTTTGTAAAATGCTAATAATAATGTTTCAAGTACAGAGAGGACCAGAAAACGTGACTGTCGGTTTAGGTTTATGTGAAGTCAGCATTAGCTCTCTTTCTTCCTGCTTTATAATGCCTGAGACATAGTAAGAATATTACGGTGACATTTCCCTGACACTGCTGTTTTAACGGCTCCTCCAGGTCCTCAAACATCTTCTAGGCCTAGAGCAGTTTAACAGAACAAGTCTGGATGCTCTCCTCAGTGTTTATAAACAGCCTTAAAGGCGCCATAAGCTTTTTTTTTTTTTGCAATAGTACACATAAAATATTAAAATAAATCCGTGTTGTGAGGAATCCTAACTCTCTCTGTGACACTCCTAAACTCTGTAGACAACAAAAAAACAGTTTTGCTATCGAAATAGTTTCCTGTGAGTCATATTGCTGCTTTTTTTTAGGTTGGCTGAAATTTGGACAACATTGGCCCCATTGGGAAAATGTGACTTTTTTGCTCCAAATCTGTACCTATACATACAATTCACTCTAGTTTCCAGCTGAAATTAAGACTAGTGACAGTAAAACACCAACAACTTTGGTCCTTTTAATGCAAATTATGATTACAGGGGCAGATTGTTGATTAATTTTCACACAGTTTTCACACAGGTCCTTGTGCAATACTATATGCTACAAGCTCAAAACACTTTTACTGCAGTTTATGATTTGTATCACATAACGAGCTCTATATATTTGGCTTCTCTGATGTAGTAAACTTGCTCGGTAGCTCACCCGGTACAGCATTGCATTGGTCATGTGAAGCGCTCTGGTACCAGTCCTGTGAAACACAAGTCACAATAAAATAGCTCAAAGACTTGTAGAAGCAAGATAAAATGACATGGTTGCTTCAGAAAATGCATTTTTATCTTATGTTTGCTTTTGTTAACACTATTTAATGTCGGGTTTAGCGTAGGTGGTATGTTGTTTTCGAGCACGATAGTGCATTAACCCTGTAGCGCCATTCACCACACATTTAATTCATTCTGCGATATGTGCCACAACTAGGGTTGTGACGGTGAGGACATTTTCCCACCGGTTAATCGATGTGTGACAACACCGGTAATACCGTTATCACCGTGGGGGCGGGACGTTCCCTCTTTTTCTCGCTTTCCTTTGCTTTTAAATTGCTTGTAAAAGCGGCGTGCGCATTTTACTTTCACTTTCAAATAGCGGCAATTCGGCGTAAAGCAATTGTTAATTTTTAGTTCGTTTGAATTTTCCCTATTTTTCTCGCTTTCCTTCACTTTTAAATAGCTTAAAAGCGCCGTGCGCATTTTACTTTCACCAAAATCACCTTAGATAAACGGCAAAAGTCAACAGGCTTTACAAAATCTAAAATAATGCCAAACAGGCACTTTTGCATTGTTGCATCGAAACTAAATCATCCGCCATTGTCTTTTCTGTCTCACCTCACTCTTCTTGTCAGTCAGCTCGACTCACTCTCCTCACTGGAGAAATTAAATCTGATCTGTGATGCGACTGTCGTTTGGCACGCTGCATTGAGCAGCCGCGTTCAGTTTTTAATTGTAGTGTCTGTTCTTTTACTGAACTAAACGATTTTTATTACTACAAAAAATCAAAATGACGGTGGGGGTCGGTGCCGCGGTGGGCAAGTGACATAACCGGTGTTGCGGCTTAACACCGGTATCACCGTCAGCACCGTCTGCAAGCCTAGCCACAACCAATGTGATAAAATGTTGCCAGATCCACATTCATCTGTTTTGGATAAAACGAAATGTGCTTTTGGCGTCACTAACTGGTCATTTCAATTTGAAGGTGTTACGAAACATGCGAGAAGCAATGTAATATTATTTTGGCTGTCTGTTAGACAAAATAAATAAAAGACTACCTTTTGCATCTATTTGTAGGCATAATATGTGTGTATTTGTCAAATATCATTGTGGTGGGTATCAAAATGGCATCACCATAAAAAAAGGAAAAAATAAATAAATAAAATAAAATTACTCTGAATTTCTAAATTTTAGTCTTTCAGTTTTCTGTGCTGGTCTGAAAACACAAGCTCTCTGCATATCCGAATACTTTTCATGCCCTGGGTAAACTTTCTGGTCTTCATCCAGAAAGGAGATTTGTGGTGTGTGATAACATTTAACTAGGAATGCATGTCTCCTAAAACTGTTCCAGGAGCTTTACCGGTAGGTAAAGCTGAATTTGGGTGTATTAGCGGAGAAACTCGACATGGCTCTCAGAGAAGGGCTTGACATTTATGAATCATTGGTACACTACAGCTGTTATTCTGGCTGTTTTAAAACAGATGACTCGACGCCTGGGTTATCTTAAGCTAAACAACAGTTAGTGTGACCAAAACTATGATTAACACAGTGTTGTTTCAAAACAGTCGTGAAGTCGAAGTAAATCAGACCACAATATTTCCAGACATTGTTGACAGACAAAGGTTGTAATAAATAATTACCAATCCCAAGAGTCAGGTGGTCCGAGGGATGCACAGTGACAGTTTAAATGTAATACTCAAAAACTAAAAATACACCATTATTTACTTGCCCCCATGTCGTTTCACAATGTCTTCAATGGGATCCAATGTTATGTTATTTTGCACTTTATTGCCTTTAATTCATTTATGCGTTTGGTAGATGCTTTTATCGCAAGTGACTTACATTGCCTTTCAAATATAGATTTGATTCATTCAAGCATTCACTGGGAATCAAATCCATGACTTTGGTGTTGCTAACGCAATACTCTACTGTTTGAGCAGTACAGAAATGCATTATATGGACAAGGCGTTTTGCCCATTATATGGACAAAAAGTTATTCAAATCATTGTTTGTGTTTTATAGAAGGAAGTAAGTCAGGTTTGGAATGACTTGAGGGTGAGTAAATGATGACCAATTTGTCATTTTGTGTGAATTCTCTCTTTAAAGAACCTCTAAAGTGGCACAGACAAAAATAACCAGAGTTAAGTTCCTCTGAAAGTTCTCCCATGGACAGTTTCTTTGTTTTATTCCACTTGTTAAACAGCAGGCCATGGACTGGTAGACTAATTCTGAATCACTATCCAAGGCTGCCACTTCCCAGAAAGACTTTGGGCCACATGAAAGCAGAAGTGGAAGCAATGATGCCATGCTTGAAGGACAATCTTAAGGTCGAGTTACGTAATCATTTCTATAAATCTGGCCCTTTTTTAGCCCCACATTTTATTTTTATATAACCAATATTCCACTGATATGCTGGAACTTTCCACAACGATATGCAGGAAATAGAAAAATTGACTTTTAGGAAAGAGGATGCTTCATTTTAAACTTCTGTTTAAAGTCTGTTTTGCCAAGCGTTGACCATTGGTAATTGTTTTAGATTCCAATATTTTTTAAAGGTTAAAGATGTTCAAACTGAACTTTACTTACCTAGTGAATTTCAAGGACCTAATTGTAGACATTTTTTTTTTAATCTCATAATTTGATATTGTGAGGTTGAGGTGAGAATAATTCTTTTTCACAGATAAACATGCCAATTCCTCGAAAACAAATCCAGGAAAGCCTCTTCTCAGAAGCCCAATAATAGTGCACCTGAAGCCAAACACTCTTGTGCAATACAGCTGTTGTTTGTGATGCTTTGATACTTCAACTTCAGCTCATTTGGTGATAAAACAGATACAGAAAAAATTATTCTTTCATTCTTCCCTCTGTGCACGCAATGGCACAGTGATTAAACATACTGAATAATGCATGCACAGGAAATTACTTAAATTGTTGAAGTTGAAGGCTTGTAATGTTCTGGAAGGGTTGCAGATGTTCATGTGGGTATGTCTTCTGCCATCACATCATGAGAAAAATTTCCTCAGCTGATCAGTTCCAGAGTATGTTGCATGACACACGAAAATCAAATAAAATGTAGCACACAGGATTTATGATGCATTTGCTTGATGACAGCTGTGCACGCTGAACTTTCTGACACATGGTCAAACAATATCACTATCCTTTCATCAAAGAGCCGTCAACTTTGTGGTCATACGTCAAGCAAAAAGGGGACATTAAAACAGTCTAAACCAAATAAATACAAGACAACTCTCTCATGTCGCTGTTTCAAACAGCCCATACATTATCATGTGAGTCTCAGGAAACTAACAGCATATATGACAATAAAGACAAACTAGGCAGATTTGCTCAAGTCACACACACTGTAAAAAAAGTCATAAGGTGTATAAGTTATTTCAACCGACTTAAACAATCAAGTTGAATTTTATATAACTTACAAAAAAGTTTGAAATTCCTTAACTTATTAAGTAAAGTCATTACTTACTATATAATTTTTTACAGTGCATACAAAAAGGTGTAAATGTTCAATTAGACTAAACATTCTGCAAAGAATCTTCCCAGTTCAACACATACAAACCATGGGAAAGGATGTTGCTTTTCTGGGTCTGTTAAACAATGGTAAAGGATAAGAGGCAGGAAAAGGGAACCACAGAGGAATTAAGTTGTGACCGTCCAAAGTGCTTATTCAGCAAACTTCACATGTACCACCCATCTGCTCATCATTACACACACTCAGAGCACAAAACAACAAGTTGGCACAATAAAAAAATAAACTGGATGACTTATGTAAACTGTCACTGGTGCATAGTGCATTGTATTGTCTAGTATGTATTGCACTGCAAAATTGTCTCTCGCCCTTCCTTGAACTCTAATTGAACCCAGCCTAGTGATACCAAACAATGGACATCTAGTGAATAACTATTCTGATGTTGCGGAATTTGAGAAATTTGGGGAAAAGATGGAGGATGTGAGTGGAAATGTACTGGCCTACTTTATGTCTATAGTGTCTCTCAGCGTGGAAAACGCCACAAAAGCATCCCTAACATTTACACTTCATACAGATCAAGTTGCCTATATGTGAGAGACGGGTTTATGTTGGACACCAGAAAGTTTACCAGCTGTAAGACCAAAGAGATAACTTACAGATCGACTTTCCTTTAAGTGTAGGGAGATAGTCAAAGAGAGAGAGAGAGATCAGCCCGAGTCCTGAGACACGGGACCTGATTAAAAGATAACGGCACATTATTCCCTGGAGCAAATGGCAGTGAAAAGGAAAGGAGAGACAGAGAAAGAGAGAGAGAGAGAGAGAGAGAGAGAGAGAGAGAGAGAGAGAGATGGGATTCTTTGTTCACAAAACAACGCTCAAAACGATTGAATTATAAGTTAACAGTTAGGCTACTTACTTGTCAAGGACAAAATACAAGTCAAAGGCGCCCTGACATGATCTCTCCTCCTCCACATCATCCTCGGCTCTTGCAGATGGAAGCGTGAACAGCAAAAGTCCAAAGAAAAGTGCGCAAAGACACATTTTTACTACTAAACGTGCCATCGTTTCTTATTGCAAAAACATCAACCCTCAACAAAGCAGACGGCCATTCACATTATCCACAGAAAAAAGAGCCTTTGCTGAGATCCTGAGGGAAGGATGCACACAAAGACGAGGAGTTTTGCGGATGTTGACGCAGTCCTTACATCAGTCTGAAAACTCTTAACTCCAAACTTGAGATAACACGAAAACACGCTATTCCCAATATGTACTGCACAGAAAGCAGATGCACAGGAAAAACACCACAAAAAAAAAACGGGTTCCAAGTGTCTGTTCCGTTTTCTTTATATAAAACACTAGCCGGTTTGCTGTTTTGGGGAATTCTCAGGGACTGCTGCTGCACGAAATCCACGTGTTAAAAGGCCAGATGTATTGTTTCAAGCGCTTGATATTTGGTGTTAATGTGCAAAGCAAAGACGGAGTCGTTTGAGAAAAGAGCCCAGGCTCAGAGTGAGCTGGTGTCATATTTCTACCCCAGAAAAAAATTTGGGTCAGTTTCTTCTCTTTGAAGGTTTCCTCCCTTCCTTTGGATATGCAAAATATATGGTTGTTGTTTTTTTGTCCTGTTTTGTCTGCTAATGTTGAAATATTAATCTAAAATTAGCATATAAAAATATTTATTTTATACACATTTTATAGAATGTTTAGCTGAATATATGCCTTTCTTTATTTTTCCATCAGGGCCATCTATACAGTGGCCTATTTACTTTTAGGATTCATTAATTAATGAATTGTTTCTGTTTTATTTATTTTCTCCTTTCCTTGTGTGTACAGTTTCACTTCATTTTTTATTTTGTCAGTTTACTTTGTTACGCCAGTATAGTTGGCGTTAAGTGTTAATGTTATGTGTGTTTTAAGTAATTGAATCAGTCAACCACAAATCAGTCAATTCTGTTAAAACGCCCACTTGATAGTCTATAAACATTTGACAAATTCAAAAGACCCTAAATTCATTCATTTGAACAACCATCAAGTTATAAAAACAATAGTAAAAAATAAGTTTCAACAACGTCTGTGTGTTAGCTTATCCCTGTGAACAAAATTGACTCACATGATACATAATATCATATAATTTGACAAGAATCTAACAGTGCATTATGGTATATTATCTCTAGTCATGTAGGCTACATGAGTCGTACACACGTTATTGCGGTGCATTATAGGATCTTATGAGTGCAGTACATAACCTCCATATGGTTTCAGACATAAAAACCGACACCCGAGATACATACAGTATACTACATAGCAGATGAGTCGTTCAATGAAAGGGGCGTGTTTCTTCAGAAGATCAACGGGTCATTCTACAGAAACGTCCACTTTTCTGTCCCTAGACTCTTTGAGTTCAGCTCATGAAAAATGGGGACAAAAACAAAAGTGTTGCGTTTATAATTTTGTTCAGTGTAGTATAAGAGCATGACATAAAATAGCAGCGGACAATTGCAGTTTAGACAATGTACTGTACTTTGTTGTACATTTTAGTTGTTTTAGTTCAAATGTTTTAAAATGATGTTTATGTTCTTTTACTAACTGTTTTCACTAGTTGGCAAATGTATGCCAAATGTAACAATTTAGTAATTGTTTATTATAGCTGAAGAATAAGGGTGTTTGCTCTTATGTATGTCACTGGTGTTACATTGTGTCACTGGTGTTACTGTGTGTTTTTTTCTGTCACATTCTATAAAATGTGTCACATGTGACATGATAATAATTTTACATCTATTGAATTCTGCTACACTCAAGAGTTAAGATGTAAAGGATTGTATCATTACTTGTTTATAACTGTTTTTCTAATATTTTCATTGTTATAGCAAATACATGTTTGTGCAAATGAACTAACATCATTCAGTCACACTTTTAACAAACCTGATTAAAATAAATAAAACTTAATCTCCTTATTTGTTGCATTATCATTATTTTTATGTAACTCTGACTACATGTGCTGAAAAAAAAGAGAAATAATATTTCATACAAACCTTTAAAATTGCCAAAGAAGTAAGGTAACACCAGTTACAAAAAAGGGTACATGCGATCTTTAAATAAATATACAAAAAATATAAAAAATCATTAAGCTGTCATTTATGTGTATTCATAAAGTCAAAAGGCAATCTAATAATGTGGTCTAAGTTTAAATGTTAAAAAAAGAAATACATTTTAAGACATCTTGCCATACCAAAAGTGGACGTTTCTGTAGAATGACCCAAAATTCTCAGTTCACAGCCCGCCCCCAAATTCTATTTGATCGCGCTACAGTCAGTCATTGAAAGCCGGCGCCACGTGCTCTGGAACGAAGAAATCGATTCGTTCACTTAAATGATTGATTCGTTAAATAAAACACGAACGAAACACCAAACACGCGACAAGTGGACCTGCTGAAGCTAATATAAAACCGAAAAGCGTGGAAATACTGAGGTAATAATAATATAAACAAAAAAGCGGAGGTAATAGTTTGAACGAAACTACACGTACATCTGTAAAATATCACAGTTGGATTCTCAAATGACCGAATGACTAATTTCTTAATTAAATGACCTTGATGTCATATTTTTGAGGGAAGCTGCTTAGACCGGTGATTCATGTTAATTTGCCAATATTTGATTTATTTGGCCTTAGATACTGTTAGCCTATATAACTGTCATTGGTTATGCTGAATATTGTAGCAGGTAGATAGTCTTGACCAGTGTAGCCATGTATGACTGACAGCCCAAAATATACTAACTGATAACAGCAATAAGATTTAAGTGGTCGTTTATCATGAAGGAACATAAAGCTTTATATGGCAATCCATTTTTATTGTTGGTCAATTGCCTCTACATTTGACACGTGCCATTAGTCTATTGAGGATCATATTTATCATTAATTCCAGTAAAAACTGTTGTCAGCAGGTGCTACATAATTGTAATTTTAGTATGGCAGTGGATGTACTTGACAGCATACTTTGGTCAACTGATAGAAAAGATATGCTGCCATCTTCTGGTTCTTTGCTGCAGATTTCTAAAAGAAACGGTGTAGAAAACACGTGAATCAAAATAATGTTGTAATGACGTCAGTAGAGCAAAAAGTGGACTTTTGACTTACCAAACATGAACATTGTTTTTGCTGTGCGGGTGATTGTGTTCATGTTAGAACTGCGATTTTTGTTGAGATTGCAAGTGGATAAGTAGAGATAAATAATCTGATCAAAATAATCTGGAAAAATCACAAGAGGCTTTCAGATACATAAGTATGTCTGGAATTGGTTTATGTTTGTTAAACCCATTTTACCTCAGTTCTAAGGAATTTTTTTATTTAATCTTTAAAACACATTACAATTAGAACAGTTTCCATGTGGTATTTATTAAGTTTTATCATTTGGTTTCAATATAACTCCAAAGTCGCAATTTTCCCCAGATGTACTGAAAAAGATTCAAGTTGCTTTTGAAACAGTACAATTTTCCAGTTTGTTCATATGCATGTTTATGGATGTTTACAATACAAGCATAAACTAATTTTAATGTGCACAAAGGAAACTAGTTCACAAATATTAAAGTTTAGAACAGGCCTAATCTGAATATTACTTGCATTCTCCTCCACCAAGTTTGCTTGAGAGATTGCATGCTTTAGGTTAGAGGAAAACATATAAGGAATAGAAAAAGGTTTGAACTAGCAACTGAAGGCATAACTGTGTACGTTCTAAACATGACCTTAATGATCTACACAGATTATGAAAGCATCTCCACAACATGTCATCCTTCTAAATAACTAATTTGCTATATCATTTGGCTTCCATACCAGGCCCAGAAGAACTAATTAATTTTGGCCAGAAAAATGCTTATAGAGGATGGCCTTTGCTGTGTCGAGGGCAGCATCGGCGGGCACTGGAATGTGAGGGGCAATGCCAGCACCCTCCCAGGAAGGGCCCTGAGCAGTGTCTGAATGGCTAATTGGGATAGACAGGAAGATGTCGCTTTCGCCCACACGTAAGGTCTCAGGGGGGTGACAACCTCCACGGGTTGTCTCACCGATAATCATTGCACGTCCCAAACTCTTAATGATAAAAACAAACTCCTCAGCGGCACCAGCAGTAGCACCACTGGTGAGGATTATCACACTCTTTTTGCTGCCATATCTCCTGCCTAGAAAGAATAGAATTGCACACTTAATATTGCACTATGAAATATGCCTATAATAATACAGGACACATAATCAAATTACTACAACAAATTCAGGACACTGCACTTTGTGAGTATCAAACAAGCAAGAACAGTTGATCTACACAATGAGTAAAATGATAAACATGTAATGAATAATAGTGACCAAAATCAGAAAACTAGTCACTTTAGTAATGTACCTGTAAGTTGCGTAAGGGCCAGAAGATCACTTGTGGTATTGGAGGGTCTGTTGTACACGTGGTCTAGCACAATCTGCTTGTCACTGTCAAAGAAGTATGAGCAAAAGCCAGCAATGGAGGAGGTGGATCCACCAACATTGTTCCTTAAAAGAAAAGTATAGTAAAGTTGGGATGGTCATATCAAATTATGGTCAAAGGTGGACTAAAAATGTTGCAATTCATACATATTACTGGATTTATAGAGCGACATACAAATATCCAATAGAATAATCACCTCAGATCAATGATCAGCATGTCAGTGTCAACCACTTTGTTCCAGACGTGTTCCGCAATGATCTTAGCAACATGTTCAAAATCTCCAAACATGTCAAAGCGAAGGTAACCGATGTTGTTTTCAAATACATCAGTGTGGAATGAAACTTTGACTAGCTCAATGAACATCTCGGGTGTGAGATTCTGGAAAATAAAGGGACAGGTGTCATTCACTATTTTCCCTCAACAACCAGCATATGTCTAAATCGTTATGTGTAAGATTTTCTCTCAGAATAGATTGACTCACCATTGGAGGACGTGCAGGGATATTGCTAGTGGCCTTCAGGCACTTGTCCCCTGACAGTTTTAGGAGGTCAGCAGAGAGCTTTGCTTCCAGTTCTTCCTTTGTGGAGATCAGGTTGTATTCTCCACTAGCCACAACAGCTCCCAGCTTCTCTGCGACATCATCCCCAATGCTCGGAAATGCATAGTTGTCTGCAACCAGTGTGGCTGCCGCCTGAACCAACCCTGGGATTTCAGAACGAAGTTTAATGATTGCGATTGCAGCGTCAAGGGCATCTTCTGCAGCAACTTCAACATTTGGTGCCACTCCATTGATCTCCCAGCTCTTGCCAGTGATGGGGTTAATAGACTTAGCAACTGGCACAGTCACATAGAAGTCAGTGTCACCCACCTTGATTTTGTTGATATTTATACTTCCCCCAGCTGTGTTCTCCCCAACGATGGTGGCCCTTTTAAGGTTTTTAAGGCAATACACAACATCTTCTGCAATCCCAAGAGTATTCTTGCTTGTCAGAATGATCAAGGGTTTGGAGGTTCCATACCTCTTTCCCAATAGGGTTGGCATGGACCACAATTCAATGGTGACATCGGAGGTGCGATCATACACTGAGTCAATGTGGATTGG